ATAGCAGTGCTAATCCAAGCTTTGGGAACATAGCCAAAATAAAAATAATAATATGCAATGCAAAATTTCTGTTCATGAACAGGTATTCCACACAGCTATGTTTAACTAGTAATAGGAATGATCTCCTGAAGCACAAATATTTATGTTGCTGCATAATGGAAACAAAGGATAACTCACGTTGTTAATAAAATAGAAGACTGTAGCTATATATAGCCCATGAATCTCCAGGCAGTAGGGAAAACAGATGATATTACTCATGCAGGTTTGGACATCAGGGCTATCTAAGCCCAGTTCCATACAGGAAAGTAGGAGAAAGCAATGCTACCCCTCACACAGAAACCATGACCTAAGACTGGTGCCCCAAAGCTATCGGTGAAACAAATTTCCACTACACTTCCCTTTTTGTCTAAATGATAGGGTTCTAAAGCTGATATAAAACTATATACATTAAGAACAAATATCAGGATTGTCCAAAAGAAAGAAAGCTAAAAACCTACATAAATTTAAACCCACAACCAGCAAGAGCAACATCAAGTAAGGAACACATACTAAATGCCCAGGCTATAGGTACTTGGCAAAAATATTGAAATTATTCCAACAGTTGTCCTATCCTCAGGAGTCTGAATCTTGTATCTAAAATGTTTTAGCTAATATATGAAAGGGTTATAGCTGTGGCTATCTAGTCTTCAACCTCATCAAAGATCTTAGAAGGAAAATAATATTACCTGGGTCAGCAGGAAGTGTAAGAGGGCGACTTCCTAAAGTTGAAAGAAATTACAGAAACATCTGGCTATCTAGACAGTCACCCAAGGCCTCACAGTAACATCAGAGCAATCAGTTTGGCTAAGACCTACAATATGTGACAGGCCATTTTAAAAAGCATGAAAATTTGAAAGACAGTCCTACCTTGTCTTTGAAAGGTTCAGCAGTTGCTTTTCTTTGTAACCTGTATGTCTAGTTTGGAAAGCATACTTACTGTCAGCAGTTGAGGCAAGAGCAGTTTTTTGCCCAAAAGGCCAGTTATGCCAAGAAGAAAACAAATTCCAAATGGAGTATCTCTGGTGCCCAATAATCTTTTGGGAATAACTCAGTGCTGACAGGAGCAGTCATAAATTATTAAAGCATTTAAATGCTATGTTCTGTAGGTCTTTGAAGTGTTTGAAGATAAATTATCTATGCTGAGTACATCTCTGTGCTCATAGAGAACCTGAATAATGGAACTAGGTATGAAAATCATGGGTGACTATAACCTGTAGTTCTCAATAACTTGTATCACTGACTGACTGAAGCTTCATATATAAAAATGAACAATCTTTAAACAGATGTACATACAGCATGAAGACAATGACTTTGAAATTGTTAAAAAAATATCTATCTATCTCTCTCTCTATATATATATATACGGTTCAGACATAGAACTGTATCATGTAATATGACAAAAATATCCTTACATTGTATCAATATACAAAATATCTTAAGCATATGTAGAAATATGCATACATACAATGACAAAATAATTTTACATTAGTGAGCAAAGCATTGTAAACAGAAAGAGGAACTTACATGATATGACAAATACAACTTTAAGTATAACAATATGCAAATTATCTAAGACAGAAACACAAAAATAATTTTACATAATTATCAATATACAACAATCTATATCAATGTAAATTATCTATAACTAATAGTTATTCAAGTAATACAGAAGTAGATACACTAATCTACCTATTATCCCATCCATCCCCCCCCTTTTTTTTTTACAAAACAGAATACTGAGTCTAAAAACTTCATATTCCACACCTGACCCTATTACAATATAACCAACCCTATAAAAGTGATAATTATCTATAACCTTGAGAAAACCAAACCACCATCCAACCCAACTGTCGGGAAAGGGTCATGTGTTTTTAGAATTACTTCCAGCTCTTTGTGGATAATGTATTCTTTATATGGATTCTAAAAAACAAAAAACAAAAAAGCTAAGACAATCATTAAGTATCAAGAAGACAAGCTGTAACTTTTGTAGCAAGTCTCTGAGTTAGTGGATAAGGCTTACTGAAGTTCTTATCTGAAGTTCTGGATAGAATGATGTAGAAAGGCAGACCATCCCAGCTAGCTAACTGTCTAGAGCAGTTTTAGTTCAAACCCAATCCTTGAGTGTTGTTAAAAGGCTTGCTGACATCATTATGAACCAGGTGGAATCGATGTTGTGGGGCTCATCTTCTTTTGGGAGTTTTCAGAGTTTGGTGCTAGGAAAATTAAACATTGCTAATATCAAAACGAAAAGTTTAAATTTTTATTAATATGCATTCAAAGAAAGTTACTGATGAAGATGAAAAATAAGTATGGGGAGAAATAGGATTTTGATGAGAAACAAAATGATGACATTCACATTCCCTAGAGTTTTGGTTTTCTTCTGCCCCAAACCAGAGGGCTCCTCTTATAGGAGACAGAATTTTTCTTTTAACAACATGCATGGATTTAGAGAAGGGAGAGCCACAATCCAACTCCAAAGCCAGTTTTGATTTTTTTTTAAATGAGTAGGGACTACCACTATAATGAAAAGTAAGGCGATATAAATGTTTAGGTATTAAGATTTTACTCTGTAGAAGATATTGATACCATAAATCAGGTTGTTCTTTGCTTGGTGATTCTTTCTGGATAGATATCCTTTCTTCTTTAGGCATCTAGATTTACAAGGTCTTTAGATTTCTTGAAGATGGGTAATTTTATTTCCCTGCAAAGACAAGAACAGAACCCTGCCCCAACCTCTGTGAGGTTTTCTTGCAACTTGTAGGATTGTCACGTGTAGGATTGTCACCTTGGTGGGTGATCTGTCATATCTCTTTATCAAGAGGTTTCTACCATTCAAAATGAATCTGGAATCATTTTGGTGGTATTCATAGCTTTTCTTCTCCTGTGGAAACAAAAGCCAAACCCCTTCCCCCAATATAGCATGTATTCTAGTATGCATTCTGAGGTCAGCATATTCTTGAAGTATACCGGCTGATTTACTTCAGAAGTTATTTTCTGTTGTCAAATGTCTCTCTCTAGCTGTTGTTCCTTTTTCATTAGCATTAAGAAAATTCAGGGTTAATAAGGCATTATGCAACCAGTCTTTGGGAAACTTGGTTTCCCTTACCTGTTTATAAAGCATTTCTTTTAAAGTGCAATTAGATCTCTCAACAACTGTTTGTCCTATATGATTGTGTGGTATACCTGTAATGTGCTTTATGTTAGAATATTTTAAAAAACTCTTTCATCTTACTAGAAACATATGCTGGAGCATTGTCAGTTTTAATTTGTACTGGTATACCCATGACAGCCATTATTTCTAATAGGTATGTAATTACAGAATCAGCCCTTTCAGAGTTCAACGCAGTTGCCTATTGAAATCCCAAAAATACATCTATTGTATGGTGTACATATTTTAATTTTCCAAATTCTTTGAAATTAAACATATCCATTTGCCAAATTTCATTTTTATGCAGGCCTTTAAGGTTACTTCCTATATGAAAAGGCATATGGTTACAGAAGGAACAAGCAGGACCTTTTTTATGATCTCCTTTGCTTGTTGCCAAGTGATGGAAAAATCTTTTTTAAACCTTTGTATTGACATGGTGTTTCTTATGAAATTCAGAGGCCTCCAGAGCACTTCCTATTAATAATCAATCAATTTCATCATTACTTTATTATATATATATCCTATTCCTATATATATATATTGCTTTATGATATATATATATCCTATTCATATATATATATATATATATATATATACACACACACACATACATATTTCCTATTCCTATTTCCTGTAATTGTATAAATTACAAAGTTAATTCTGTATCACCAGGAATAAATTTAGTACTTTCAATGTGTAAGACAATTCTCTGCATATTGACAGTCAGTAACTGTATTAAGAGGTTCTGTAAATTCCACTAGTAACATAAGAATGGCATACAATTCTGCATTTTGCACAAAGTTATAAGTACTTTGAACCCCTTTACTTATATATACCTTGCCTTTCCTTGTTTATTTGCATCAGTGACTCCAGAGATTGGTATATTTCTTGCAATGAAAGGAAGGATCCAAATTGTTTTGTTATGAATTTTATTCTCTCACTTTTGTGATAACTGTTGCTAGTCTTTCCCAAAAAATTACTGCAACCTCTTTGTCAATATTCATTATCTTTCCATAAAGAGTAAATTTCTTCATTAGTTAAAGGTATTAACATTTCTATTGGGTTCATTCCTGACAGTTGACAAATTCTTAATTTTCCTTTTAAAATCAAATCAGGAATATCTTTATATATGTCTTTAGTACCTTATTCTGTTTACATGCTAGAAATATCCATTCCAATATAATATTTTCTCTCTACATCAAAATGCCTGAAGGATATGCCCTAGATGCTAATCAAACCAGAATGTAGGTAAGCTTTGGATCTACACAAATAACATGTGTCTCTCCTATCTTCTCTTCTACCCATGCTAATTCCTTTTCAGCTTCAGGCAATAATTGTCTTGGACTATTTACATGTTTGTTCCCTTCTAGGATCTTTTTTAAAATTTTATAGTTCATGTTCTTTTAATACAATCATGGTCTGTAGACAGGAAATCTCTCCTAGAAATTCCCTTGCTTCCTGATTGCTGGGATTGAAGGGGTGTGCTCCCATGCCTTGCAATATATTTTACTTTTCTTTTTTTATACTGTTGTTGTTCATGTTTTTTGTTGTTGTTTTTGATGTGCTCTCTTCATATGAGATAAGAAAAGACATCTCATGACAAATTAAAAGAATAACCATTTACTTACTTGGTACTAAAGAAGATATGTAATATTAACTGGGCAAAATCTTCAAAACAGTAGCCTATTATGCATTGTCTTCTGTGATCAGAAGATTAGATTGCATTTCCCAGTGTCCTATTTTCAAGTGGGTGAGGTTACAATGAGTGAAACTCACAGAAATTGTACTGATGTCACATTACTTTTCTTACCAGATATTGATCAGTGTGTGAAGTGTCCAGATGATCAGTATGCCAACACAGAGCGAACTCACTGTCTCCAGAAAGCTGTGACATTTCTGGCATATGAAAGTCCTTTGGGGATTACTCTGGCAGGAATGGCCCTGTGTTTGTGTACACTAACAGGACTCATCCTTGGGGTTTTTGTGAAGTACCAAAATACTCCTATTGTGAAGGCCAATAACAGGACTCTCAGCTATATCCTGCTCATCTCACTCACTTTCTGTTTTCTCTGCTCCTTACTCTTCATTGGTCAGCCCAACACAGCCACCTGCATCCTACAACAGATCACATTTGGAGTTGTCTTCACAGTGGCAGTGTCTACTGTCTTGGCTAAAACCATCACTGTGGTCCTGGCCTTCAAGATTACTGCTCCAGGAAGAAGGATGAGGTGGTTGCTTGAATCAGGGGCACCCAGATTCGTCATTCCCATCTGTACAAGTATACAAATTATTCTCTGTGTAATCTGGCTGGGAACATCTCCTCCCTTTGTAGACAAAGACATACACTCTGAACATGGTCAGATCATCATTTTGTGCAATAAGGGCTCAGTCACAGCCTTCTACTGTGTCCTGGGATACCTGGGGACTCTGTCCATAGGAAGTTTTACTATGGCATTTTTTGGCAGGAACCTGCCAGACACCTTCAATGAAGCCAAATATCTGACATTCAGCATGCTGGTGTTCTGCAGTGTCTGGGTCACATTTCTCCCTGTCTACCATAGCACTAAAGGGAAGGTTATGGTAGCTGTGGAGGTCTTCTCCATCTTGGCTTCTAGTACAGCACTTTTGGGTTGTATCTTTATCCCCAAGTGCTATATTATTCTCATGAGACATGACAAGAACTCATTAAAAGCCGTGAGAGAGAGAGTTCAGTGGAAATAGTCTTTAGGATAACTCATGTTATATTTTTAGGGCCTTCAGCAGTGACAACAGAAGTTCTATGGTTAAATCACTGCATGCACATTACACATCACTAAAGGGTGACTAAATTGTTATATATTCTGTATTTATGGAATACTATGATGATAGACATCAAGGATGATTTTATCTTGGGTAGTCTTAGTGTTCTAATCAGTCAGCTATAACTTATATCTATATGTGGCTTCCAAATAAATACTTTGGCAATGAACAAAATGATGTTTGCCTCCACCAAATAAAGATCAAGATATTTTATAGGATAACATCAAAATTATTCATAGTATAGAATTCAAAAGTCTGCTGTAACTACCAAAATTATTTATTGAGAAATGTGTTTTGAAGGTATCTTTATTTGTGGACTAATTTTTATTTATTTTACATGCCAACCATAGTTTCCCCTCACTCCTCTCCTTCTAATCGCTTTCCCTACTCCCTTCTTCCCCATCTGCTCTTCCTCCATCTTCATACCAAAGGGGTAAAGCCTCCCATGGGAATCAACAAAGCATGGCATAGATGAGGCAGGTTCAAGTTTCCCCCCTCCCCTTGAATCAATGCTGAGCAAGGCATCACACAATAGGGAATAGGTTCCAAAGAGCCAGCTTATGCAGGAGGAACAGGTCCTGGTCTCACTACTGAAGGGCTCCACACAAGACCAAACTACATGATTGTTATCCATATGCTGAGGGCCTAGGTCAGTCCCATGCAGCCCCCTACCTGTTGGTCTAGAGTCTGTGTTCTCCCTTAAACTCAGGTCAGCTGTCTCTGTGGGTTCCCCAATCATAATCTTGACCCCATGTGCCTATATGATCCCTCCTCTCCTCATTGAACTGGACTCCTGGGTCTCTGCCCAGTTCTTGGTTGGGCATCTCTGCATCTGTTTCTATCAGGTACTAGATGAAGACTCTATGATGACAATTAGGGTAGTCACCAATCTGATTACAGGGGGAGGATAGCTCAGGCAATAATGGCCCCTTATATCAAGATATCTCTTTCATTATACTCCCCATCCATCCCACCCCACAACTTGGCCATCCTGATGCCTCATGTTCCCATTTCCCCATTCCCTCATTTCTGCCCCCAACCCAAGTTTACTTAGGACATCTCATCTATTTCCTCTTTTCATGGAGATCCATATGTTCCTAGGGTCCTCCTTGTTACCTAACTTTTCTAGGGCTAAGGATTGTAGCCTGGTTATGCTCTCCTTTACATCTAACAGTGTATTAATTTTTGTTACTATAAAAACTACATGAAAACATCATCATATTGAAACATAATAATTGAGGCAGCCTATGTGCGAAAATCATGATCACTCACATTTGGCCCCAGTATAAACTCTTTCTCACAAACTTTGAGGAAATGTATTTTGAGGTGGATCTGAAGAAAAACTTAGTTATCATTCCAGCCATATGAAGTAACTTATATCACTGGTGACAACTTCTCCAGATTGTAAATTTGACTGGAACATCACCATGAAATCATAACTCTGGTGGGTCTATGATGGTATTGGCAGACAAGATTAACTATTATGTGGAGAATTCATATTAATTTTGGAAACTACACTCCATGTCCAAGAGTATTGAGATTTACAAAGACAAGGTAAGCAAATCATCAACACTCAGGAATCTCTGTTTCCTAACTTTGATGCAATGTGACCAGGTGCTGCAGACCCTTGCTAGCATCATTTCCCCACAGTGATGCAATGCACCCTTTATCATAATCCCAAATAAACCTCCTTTAAAAATTATGTCTCTTACATTTAAAACACCTCAGGCTAATTACTGTTCATTTTGGGGAAGGAACTTTTCTTCACACTGTATATTAATTGGATTGTACTTGGAGGACAGTCTATCATTCCTGCTGTTAATAAAATTTGTTTTACATCAAGAAAAAAAGTCTTTTTCAGATTATACTATAATCTCATTTTTCAAATCCATGTTATTTTTAATATGCTTGCCTAAAATTTACATTATCTGATGTAGAATAGAAGTATTATGTATATATATATATATATATATATATATATATATATATATTCCTAAATACAACCTCCTCAATATATATAATGTTACATATGTGCATGTTGCCATTTTAGTAAAACACAATAAATCAAAATACAAACTTGTGGATCTCAGTCACAACAGATATATCTCCAAAACATTTCTTGCACCTAAGCCTCAGGTAACATTGTGGAAGATGGTGTGGAAATATTGGTAGTGTCAGTGCATTGAGAAGTTTGCTCTAATGTGATGTATCTTTGTAAAGTCAGAAACAGATCATCAAAATCTTACCAATATGACCAACTAAACAAGAACAGAGTGAAGGGCACAACTACAGGCATTCAAAAGCGGATGAGGTAAAGGCTAGATCTCAACCCTACAGAACTCATCACAGGATATAAGGAAAACAAGAGTGGGAGAAATAGTCTTGTTTAGGAAAGAGTACATCAATTGGGTATTCAATACCAAAATCTTTTTCTAAAACTTGCTTTTCTCTGGTTTTTATGTACAGGAAACATAGCAAAAAATCAGAAGGAACAGTGGCTGTGAGTAGTGAGGACTTGGTGGTATTCAGTATGGACCAGGGTCTGTTGGGCTTTTGGAACAGGCTACCAAGAGGAGCGTTGTAGGGTTTGGAGCTTCAAGATACAGAATTCCTGACAGAGATTAACTGTCCATTTGCATAGAGTTTGGCAAATGAGAATGTCAAAAGCAATGCAAACAACTCTCATGAGCTTTCAGAGGGCAGCAAGGGCCCCATCAGAAAAAAAGGTTGTGGGCCATTCATTTTATATTCTGTCAATGACTCTGACCTCATTCAGTACTGTGCATAGAACTCTGACAGTAAATCCAAAGGTAATGGTTGCTTTGTTTGGTGGCTGAAGTGTAGGCTATGTCATGGATCAATGTCAAGTCTGTAATGAGACAGAGCATCCCTCATCCTTGGCCCTGCTTGTGCTGAGCGTTTGGCCAGAGCATGGGTCCAACACCCCCACTATCTCCTTGGAAATTCCTGGATCGGCTCTGTGCATACTGGACCTTCCCCTCCACACAGGACAATCTTGAACCTGTCCTAAGCTGACTTTTGGACCCCTTTGCCTGCCTTCTGCCTGAGGTGGGTCTGGGACCAGCCAAGGCCAAATCCCCCCACATCCTATCTTGGGAACTCCCTGGGTTAGCTCTGCATCTTAACCACACTATAACTGTGGTCTGAGTGGCCCAGTCCCAGTACTCCAGACAATCCACCACCAAGAGCCTGCCTTCCCCTCATCCTTGGCCCTGCTGGGCCCATAACTTGGGGTAGGCCCTTGGCCAGAGCTTGGGTCCAACAACCCACTCTCCCTTTAGAACTTCCTGGGTCCGGTCTGAGCATACTGAACCAGCCCCTCCATGAGGGACCTACTGGAGCCTCCCCTCACCTGACCTTTGGGATCATTTGCCTGCATTCTGTCTAAATGCTTGAGACCATCCAGAGCCTGCCTTCCCCACATCATTGGTCCTGATATGGCCTCTGCTTGAGAGACTTCCAAGAGAGCTCAAATCATCCAGTTACTGACATAGAACTCCTGACTCACCAGCACTAACTGGAAGAGCAAGGGAGAGAGAGAGAGAGAGAGAGAGAGAGAGAGAGAGAGAGAGAGAGAGAGAGAGAGACTCCACCTGCACCCACTGGAAGAAATAATGGGAAGACAGCAATAAAGAAAACACCCAAAAATAGAAAGACCAGTATGACATCACACTTTATAATAGCCACAAACAACATAAAATATCTTGGAGTAATACTATCCAAACAAGTCAAAGATTTGCATAGCAAGAACTTTGAGCCTTTAAAAAAGACTCAAAGAAAAATACCTATCTCTGGAGTTCATACATTCTACACTGATGCAAACAAATCAGGTAAGGCAGGATATAAATCAGGAACAATAAGTAAAGTGGTTCAAAGCCCTTACAATTCTGTACAAAAGGCAGAATTGTATGCCATTCTCGTGGTACTTGTGGATTTTACAGAATCTCTTAATATAGTTACTGACTCTCAATATGCAGAGAGAGCCCTCTTACACACTGAGACCATAGAATTTATTCCTGACAATACAAAATTAACTTCAGTGTTTATACAGTTATAAGACACTTTCAGAAAGAGGACTCATCCTATATATATAAAACACACATCAGATCCCATATGTGTCTGCCAGGTCCTCTAGAACAAGGCAATGATGAAATTGATAGGTTATTGATAAGAAGCATGCTAGAAGCCTCAGAATTTCATAAGAAACACCACGTGAACAGCAAAGGGTTAAAAAGGGATTTTTCTATCACTTGGCAACAAGCCAAGGAAATAGTAAAAAAAATGTCCTACTTGCTTATTCTATAACCAAACTCCTTTACCACCAGGTAGTAACCCAAAAGGTATACATAGGAATGAAATATGGCAAATGGATGTGTTTCATTTTGCAGAATTTGGAATATTAAAATACATACATCACACTATAGACACAAAGAAAGAAATTAAAGAAGATACCAGAAAATGGAAAGATCTCCCATGCTCTTGGATAGGTAGCATAAACATAGTAAATATGGCAATCTTGTGAAAAGTAACCTACAGATTCAATGCAATCCCCATCAAAATCCCAACACAATTCTTCACTGACCTTGAAAGGATAATAATCAACTTTATATGGAAAACAAAAGACCCAGAATAGCCACAAAAAAAAAAACCCTGTTCAATAAAAGAATTTTAGGAGGCATCACCATCTATCATCACTATACTACAGAGCCATAGTCCTGAAAACAGCCTGGTATTGGCACAAAAATAGACAAGTAGACCAATAGTATCGAATCAAAAATTCTGATATTAACGCACATACCTACAAACACCTGATTTTTGACAAAAGTATACAATGTGGGGAGGGAAGCATTTTCAACAAATGGTACTGGCATAATTGGATGATGGTGTGTAGAAGACTGCAG